TTTAACTGGTCTATTTTCGCGTTCATTTCTCAATTGTAAATATCGCCTCAACTCTTGATTATAGTGAACATTTTTAGAGGATTCACTTTCTTTTCTTCTTTTAGATCTTTCTAAAGCGCGACGAGTAAAATCTAGATTTGGTTCACCTACATCGCTTGTTGTAAGACCACGATAAATATCCTCCGGGACAAGAATAAATTTATTTGCCATATTTTTTTAAATTTTTATTTAAAATTTTTAAAATTAATAATGATAATATAAATGAATAGTTAATTTGTATCGGTATCACTTTTTATAATTTTTCTTCCAATTTCTATAAGTATAGGGGTAAGAAGAGCTGTAAGGACACCTCCTAACCCACTTCCTTTCTGCGAAATAATTTTTCTTGCTCCCCTCTCACTTCGAGCACGACTCATACGGCGGACAAATTCGGCATAGGGTAAAAGACGTTTCCTTTGGCGAGTAGTTAGTTGATAACGTGCTTTTACAATATTTAAACATATTTCTGCTATAGCAAGAAGTTGCTGACTGTTAGCCTGTTTAAGCATGCGATGACGTTTGCTATCCGATTTAGATCTTGCCAATAAATTTAAAAAGTCTTTATTATCCATAATAAGTGAACTAATATTGCACTGAGATTTAGACCCCATTTTTAGGAATGAAAATTATTTTTTCGCTGTCGTCTTTAAAAATATTTGTACGAAGACGTAATGTTGGATCTGAAGAAGCATGCATATCAATTAAAAGGTATCCATAAGGAATATTTGTAGCTTGCCTATAGGAATCGAGAAAATAATCTAACTTCTTGGGGAAAAGTTGAGCACCAATGTTTCTAACGGAAAGAACAGAGTTTGGAGAACGCATAATAATTATATACTGTACATTTTGCCGGGCAACTTTAATTTTCTTTTCAAATAAGTTTTGCGTTACAAATACTATAGAAAAATTCTGGTGGTGTGACTTTTTAGTAAATAATTCCGACAAATATTTTTCATCGATAGAGAGCAATAAATCATCGAGAATAACAAGTGAAGGTTTTGGAAGTCTTTTAATTACATCCTCGGGCGGCACACCAGCGAAAACACTTACACCAGATTTTTGAAGAACTGGAACAATGTTACTCATTTCACCAAAACAATAGAGAATACTTTTAGGAGGAGGATCGATTAAATCTAATGATTGGGTAATAAATCTTAGGAGAAAAGTACTCTTTCCACTGGAACTTAGTCCAGAAATAATAAGACCGAATGGAAGTTTAAATTTTAATTCTTTACTAGAGAAATTAATTGATTCCATTAAAATAAATAAATAATAGTAATACAAATAAATGATTTTTAAAAAGATTAGGATTTACAAATCAAGGAAGCGGTATATTATCTAAATTTACAATATGAGGGGACTTTCTATAACTTCTTTTTGTTGTTCTTTTGTAATTTTTTCTTCACTCTTTTCTTTTTCTATCGGAACAGTGGCTGTAGTAGGAGAAGTAGTAGTGGTACAGCCTATGTTGTCGAAAAATTCCTGAAGAATATTTTCAAATTCTTCATCCGCGGGAATTTCTTGCTTTATCTTCTTAGGCGAAGGCGGCTTTATTGGTGATACTTCAACTTCTTTTATCTCGGGCTGGATATTTTTAATAATAGGAGTCGCTGCACATGGTGGAGATCCATGTTCAATGTTGAAGATTCGACCCTTGTTCTTGATCTATAATTTTAAAAAATATAAATTTTCATATTAATAATAAATACCTTAAAAAAGCAGTGGCCTGGAAGATCATGGATGGTATCGAACGGTATGAACGTGGGTGTTTTAATTCGCGTACAATAACAAGTCACCCCCTCTTTGGTGACAACAAAGTCGAGTTCCACTTCAGATCCCTTGCATTCTCGACAACGTCCGGCATGGTCAAAAGGCACAAAACGTGGAGTAGAAATACGCTCAGAAGCAGAAATTGTTAGACCGTTAGCAGTAATATTAAATTCTATTTCGGGGAGAATTAATCCTATGAGAGCTTTTTTGTTGGACATATTGATTGCCATTATTTTTTGTAAAAATTTTAAGAATGATTTTAGAAAATGGTAGGAAATTTAATTTAACCTTAAAAATTTTAATTTTTAAAATTTTTAATTTAAAAAGTTCGGAAAAAAAAAAAAGCCACGCCCCTTTTTTCCAGGGTTTCAATGTATATGAATGGATAAAGGAAAATGGGCGGTCGAGAAAATCTCCTTTGAATATGAGAATGGCTATATATGGTCATGCACCTTCCTTACATTCATTTGGAAATATTCGAGAAAGGAGAGATATTTCTCCTTCCATAAAATTTTTTATAAAAATAGGAATTAATTTTATAAGAATAATATTTTAAATTTATTATTTTAATTTTATTTCAATAATTTATCAAATTATTATTATTTCAATATTTTTAATTTACTGTTTTAATTTTAATAATTTTTAAAATTAGTTTATAATATTATTTTTATTTTTTGTTTATTTATAGCAATTCATTTTATTTTCAGTTTTTTCTAACCTTTTTTAACAATGAAACAAAAAAAAATAACTACTTTCTTTAAACCGAAAAAAGTAAGCTCCAAAAATCCAAGAAAATAATTTAAAAATTAAATTTAGGCTGACAAAGCTTCCCAAACATATCAGCCACATTTTTTTGCGTATATAGAGAAGTACCCATTTTTTCTCACGTCTCCAAACCCTTATGAATTAGAAAATTTCGGCGTAGTGCAAAATGCCTTAACAGGCAAATTTTATATTTCGGAACGTGATCGACTTCCAGAAGTAATATTTATATCTATTTATAAGTATATTTATTAATTTATTAGGAATTTTGGATGCGTGTTACAAAGGATAGATTAATGGACATGGTAAATGCTGTGAAAAATATGAAATGTATGAATGAAAAGGGAGAAATTTATCCGTTTTTGAAAAAATTAGAGCCTGAAAACGAAATGCAACCATTTTGGAAATATGAAAATGTGCGAGTTGAGATGATGGATGTTTCCTCGATTGAAGTATATATTTTAAATAAAAACAAAATATTATTTATAAATTTAAAGAGTTCAACATTAACAGAAGAAACAACAACACCAACATGGTTTTCACCAGTCTATACTTCAACACCGCGTGATTCGCCGGTGTCAATTATTAATTCATCACCAGCACTACTCGCTGAGCCATATTTGGCAGATTACCTGAATGAGGATGAATCATTCTTCTGAATTGAGTTGAGGTAGATAAAAATCCTAACAAAAAGTTTTTGTCTGTCTTAAAATATTGAACCCTTTTGTAGAATTTTAAAATTTTAAAAAGAAAATTGAAAAAAAGGGTTCAAAAAAACTTAATCCTATGTTCCGAACTAAATGTATTTTTAAATAAAAATCCTCATCATTTATTTAATTATTTATTTTTAAAATAATTTTTGAAAAAAACATTTAATTTTTAAAATATTTTTGAAAAAATATTTAATTTATCCTTAAAAATTCAAACATTTTCCAATTCTTTATTTTCATTTTCCTTCACACTTTCTTTTTCTCCCATATTCTTCATTTCAATTTCATGAACCTCCACTCGTTGTTTTGTAACAAGGCAGTGGAGAGGTAATGGGGGACCAATGTCATCTTTTTTGATAGGTCGACGGACTAAAAAATTGAATTTTTACATTTGTTTATTTTTTATATATTTATTACCTCTTCGTGTGTGAACGCGGAGATCTGGGGCAAAAATCCGTTCCTCCCTTCGACGTCTATGTTGTTCAGCTTTCCGTCCATTGAGATAACGTTCCACAGCCCAAGCACCAAACAAACATAACTAAATTTTAATAAAATATTATTTTTAATTTAGGATATATAAAAAATAGTTTTACGACCTGGGTCCCCAAAATAGCGAACAAAATAATATAAATGAAATAAATAGAACAATTAAATTCAACAGGTCGCTCAAGAAATTTTAAAATATTTGGGATAGAGCTGTGGGCGCAGATTATGGGTTTGCTGTAGAGTTCTGGTCTATAGCAATTATTTTCAGCTATAGGACAAGAACAATTGGAAACAGGGACCCAAGTTTGGTTAGAGGGGAAATTTTCCATTTTTTTTGGTAAGAGTGATATATGAAGAAAAGTTGTTACCGAAAAGTTTGGACTGTTTATATATCCACTAGAAATTGACACATATTTCTCAGAATAAACAATTGAACAAATTTACCCTTTAATGAACTTTCTTTCCGCTATAAAATAACAAAAATTTGTATAAATAAACACGTGTTAACCCTTAAAATTTATTTTTAGCTTGTTGCCGCACAAAAATAAAGAAATTATTAATTGTCCTATTAACAATCAAAATTTTTTTTATTTTATTTCTTTTTACATGTTTTGCCGCATTAAAGTTAAAAGTTATTATCCTTGTTAGCACTTGCAGACTTATTATTCCCATATTTCAGTAATTTAAAGAAAAATAAAATGACCCATTATTATAGATTGCGGTAATAACAAAAAGACTGAAGAATAAAAGAAAAAGTTTTGATAAATTATACTTATATAAAAATATTTAAATTAAAATTAATTTTTGAAGGCACTAATTTTGCGCGAAAATCAGCGTCGCGGGCAAACAATTTGTAAATAATTATGTTATTTTTTTGTCGGCAACTTCAAAGGGATAAAATTTGACGTAATTACAAATTGCGTCAAGATCAAAGGTCAAAACAACCGTTTAATAGGCTTTAATTGACCGGCTGGTAACAATTTACCCCCAAAAGGAAAAGGGTCAGTTATTCACACCCGCGACGGTGGGGTCGGGATAACTACTGTTGGCCAATGGATGGTGAACGGGATTTGAGCTGTCTATTTGCTACCCTCCATTTATTTTTTAAAAATAGCCGGACAGCGTCTTTCCCAGTAAGATCCCTCCACTGTCGTTTCTCATTATAAGGAACAATTTTTCAACCCAAAAGTGTTTTTTCTACTCAAGTCTGAATGACTTTTTTTAATTTTTAAGAGTGACGACTCAGACACCTCCCAACAAGTCCAACAAACCAAATGGCTTCGTCACACTTTAATCGTTGCCAGGCCAAATTTATCAATTGTAGTAATTGCCTCTGCCCAAAGATTTGTAATTTTGGAGAATTCGGAGTCAAAAACAATGGAAATTTCAACTCGAGTGGATGCCACTAAAGAAGATTTTGTTTATATTAGTGCCTTAAATGCTTTTGGAATTTCCTCGTTAAACTCTTCGAGGAACTCGGAAGATGATTGGACGTGTATTTGCGTGGTTTTTTTATTTTTTTTCGCTAATTTTTGGGTACCCTCCAGACTGGTGCATGGATACGGATAATATCCGGATATCCGCGGGTATCCGCGGATACGGACGGATATGGATAGTGTTTTTTTAAAAATCGGACGGATACGGATGGATACGGATATGATGCTCCAAATCCGCGGATATCTGTCCCTAATTTTCCCTAATTTCTGCGATTAAACATCCATGATTAAATTATAAAAATACATTTTGCCAAGAGAAAATAATTATATTCCCAACGCCAGGAGATAATTGATTCTCGCACATGACCCCTAACCCCGACCCAAAAGTCAACCACGACCCCGGACCAGAACATGCTCTGACCGGCAAACGCTGATCCCCAACGATCCCGAACCCGAAGGCTCGGGGAGCGGTGTCCGGAAAATTGGCAGCGTTGGATCGGAATTCCAATCTCTGCCTTAAGATTTTTGAACCTCCGATGTTTATAAGCAAGGTTCGTTTTGTTGCATGCAGTTATTACAGCATTATCTAACCATTACTCGAATTAAAATAAATTGACCATTTTGAAAATTTTAGCCAGTCTGACCATTTTGAGAAATAACGGATATATCCGCGGATATCCGCGGATGGATATGCCTAAAAGGTTGGACGGATACAAACGGATACGGATATTGACCTCACGGATATATCCGGATACGGATAGCAAAATCCGTATCCATGCACCAGTCTGGTACCCTCTTCCTTTTCTTCTCCTTTCTTGCTTTTCTCATCATAACTGGTCAAAGACAAATAATGGTCAGGATACGGGTTTATCTCGTGACTTGCTAGCCTTTACATTTGTACCATGGACCCAAAAAATCCGAAAGGTGCCCAACTCGTCCAGTTATGGGGACGTGTGTAGTTTACGTCCCATAAGGTCCGCCCCTCTTCTCTCTTTTTTATATGTGGCAGTCGAGTCTTTAAAAAAATTTTTAATTTTTATTTTTAGTGTTTAAGCAATGGCAATTTGCTGTTTTATTCACAAGAGGGAAAGCTGTTGTTTACTGAAAAGTGTGCGTCTACTTCCATTGTGTCGGTCAAATTATGCCCGTCTTTTTGTCCTGGAAATCAAGGTTTTCAATTTAAATGGATTAGTTGGGGAAGAAGTTGGAGGTGTGTACAGGTTGAAGATGTGGTGTAGTAATTCTGTTGTGGAGTGCAATTTTAGTCACTGGGGTTCGAGGCCTCTTTTGGGTCTTCTATCTTTTAAATTTTCTCTAGAGATATTAAGAAATGAATGCTGGGAGTATGCGTTTGTCATTGTGATTTAGTGGTAGTGTTAGTGGCGTCGGCACGTGGGTGTTAGGGTTTGAGGCGTTCTGGTTGTTAGGATTCTTCCATCTTTTCCCAAGAATTTTTAAAGCAATTATGGGGATTCTAGGATGGCAGTAGAATTTTTATTTTCTTGATAAGGGAATTGTTTATTAAATTAGAAGATTTTCCTATTAAAATTAAGTATTTTTTAGAGCTCGTTTTATTAACCGCTGATTCAAGACTAATAGCAATAGAAGGTTTATCTTTATGTGTAGCCCTTAGAGCAGCTTGTGTATATATTTCTACTGGTGAAAGAACAGCAAAAGAATTATCTTCAGTTTTACAATTAAATGCTCAACAATTTAATTTGTACAATATTAACGGGGTAAACGATGTTTTGTCTACGGGAATAACTCAAGTTTGTGCTTTTGATCAATACATTGGTGCTTTTATGGCTGGTGGACGTTCGGTTTGTGGGATTTTTGCGAATTCTAAAAATAGTGGGGTTGGTCTAGTTTATGAGTCCAATCAATCCTAAAGGCACCAATAAAGTTTTTTGTTCCTTTAGAGGGGGGAGGGGTATTTTTATGGACTTTAGAGGTTTGTGAGAGGCTTTTATAAGTATTGGAGAGGTCTTCAGAAATATCAGACTCTTCATCGTATTCATAAAGATATTGAACTTGTAAATTAGACATGAACCAAAAATATACTTTCGAAGCTCTGACGCTAATTTTTGAGCCGATTAAGGTCGGCTATCTTTTTTTGAGGATTTTTCGTGAACTTGAGGTCTTTAGAGTTAACAGATTCTTTGGAATAGACCATGGTTGCATTGGCTCATAGACTAGACCAGAGCCTAAGTATTTTTGGCTCTACTCCAGTTTATGCGTCCAATTGACTTTTATGCGTCCAATGAAAGTTTATGCGTCCAATAAAAAGAAAATTGGATTTTTCTTGGTATTGCAAAGTCGGGGTAAGGTTTCACACCATTTCTTCATGTTCGTGACCAACGCCCACTGGGTCTGGGAGTATTCCTTACCCTATCCCTCGAAATTTCTTAAAGTTAAAATCGTTTTTGAAATTTGAAAAAATTGGCTGTAACTTTAGGAAATTTCGAGGGATATGGCAAGGAATGGTCCCAGACCCTGTGGTCGTAGATCCCAAACATGAAGAAATGTTGTGGAACCATACCTCAACTTTGCAAGACCAAGAAAAATCCAATTTTCTTTTTATTGGACGCATAAACTTTCATTGGACGCATAAAAGTCGATTGGACGCATAAACTGGAGTAGAGCCGTATTTTTTGGCCTTGGACTAGTTTATGAGTGGAAGGCAATTTTTGTCAACTTTAGTGACTTGTGGGGCCTTTAATGGGTACAACAGACTTTGGATTAGACCGTGCTTTCATTGGACTTATAAACTAGCCTAGGTCCAAAATATTTTTTAAAGGAGCCAGTAACACGTGAACAATCGCCTTCATATCTTCAATATATTTGCACTGTTGGCTCAAGAGGAAAAGGAGAAGAAGGAGCATCGGGTTATGATTCTTCAATTAAAAGACAAAGAGAATTTGTAAATTTTGTTTGGAGGAGTACACAACCTTTACCTGGAACTTTAACTGATGCCTTGTTTTCGTTGACTTCAAAGGTTTTGGATTTTTTAAATTTTTTTATTTAGGTTTAAGGAAGAAGTGGAGATGTTCAAGACATACTAAATGGGGGTTTGAGACCTATTAAGGGGTGGTAGGGGAAGGTGAAACAACGTCCCGGTAAATAGGTCAGTAAAGGTGACATGGACATATGGTTTAAAGCTTTTAGCAATACTAGGTGGTCGCAGTGCTTGGTGCATGCTAAACTTGTTTCTTTTATTTGATTTTTATTTGAGATTTTCTTAAATAATATTTTTTGAAGAACTATGTTGTTGTTTTTTGAATGTTTCTAATCTCCCTTATTTTTTTGAATGATTTTAAAGAAATCAGAACCAGACCTGGGCGAAACTCAAAATTTTTTTCTGACGAAACGAAACGAAACAAAATTTTTTAAAAATCGTTTCGTTAACGAAACGAAACGAAACAACCAAAATCTTACGAAACGAAACGAAACAAAACGAAACATTTTAATATTCAAAAAATTTTCAAAACTGCATTTATTTCGAAATTATTCGACCTCAAATACGTTATTAGTCGACTATGACTTATAAATGATTTAGTTATTGGTTTATTTACAACAATTGTGTCCCATAAGCCAGGCCCGTAGCAAGGAAAATTTTCGGGGAAGGGGGGGGGGGTCAATCATTTTCGAAGCCAAATTTTTGGCGACGCTTTTTTTTAAATAAAATTGAATATTTTTCAAGTAAAATTTTATTTTAAGCGCCGCAGACGAAAAATTTTAAAATTTTGAAAGGCCGTAGGCCAAAAAATTCACCATCTTGCTCCATTGCCTACCCAAATTGTCTCCATATCTCCATTTCGAGAGGAAGGCGATATAAGCTAGTGCTTCGCCGGAAGTTCCGGTTCCAGTATTTCCGCAACTCGCAATCCGCAATTTTTAAATTATGATGCGAGTCCGGTAATAGAATTTGTCGTCGATTAAGTAATATGTATATGTGGATTAGGGAGTGGAGTATAAACGGATTTGTAGTATATAAGTAATTGCTATCTTCCTTTTTCAGCGCCGCAGGCGAAAATTTTGACAATTTGGGAAAGCCAAGAAGCCGAAATTCTTTTTTTTTCAGCGCCGCAGGCGAAAATTTTTTAAATTTTCAATAAAAGATGGTAAATTTTATAGATTTTGGCCTTAGTTTAGGCTTAAAAAATTGTTTCGTTTCGTTGAAAAATCACAGGTGTTTCGTAACGAAACGAAACGAAACAAATTTAAAAGTGTTTCGTAACGAAACGAGACGAAACAGTAAAAATCATACGAAACATACGAAACAACGAAACGAAACGAAACGTTTCGCCCACGTCTGATCAGAACTAAAGATGATGGCTGGGGGGGGGGGGGTATCCGCTTTCCGAAACTAGGACTTTTTTGATAACTAAAAACCCTACCCGATGGAACCATTTTTATATTTTTTGTACAAAGTTGGTCGAAAAAGGAATTTTTCTTTCAGTTTCTTATTGACTCCCTTTTCCACTTAATTAACAAAATTTTTTAAATTAGATTTCTAACAACATTCCATCATTTGGTTTTCGTTCATTTTTGGGTGTAGGCACATCTCGAATTGACCAACCCCGACAAAAACAACAACTTTCTGATTCGCCTACAACCCAAATTTATTCAAAAAGTTTTTTAAAAGACGGAAAAAGAAAATCTGAACGAACTTTTGTTGCTCCAAATGGATGGAATTTAATGGTTATAGTTGATAATATTGGAAGAATTTTGCTAATAAATACAAAAATGAGAAGAATTTTGAGGATTTGGAAAGGGTTTGGAGATTTTTTTAATTTTTTTTGGAGTTAGGGTAGGCCTCTCTATAAGATGCCTTTCAATATAGGAAATTTTTTATTTGAAGTAGAGTTCAAACTTTTCAATTTGCCGGGCCCGGTATCCGGGTTTTTTCTTCCAATCAGACCCAGGCCGGGTTTTCCAGGCTGAAACCCCGAAAAACCTGATTTTATCAAAATACCCGGTTTCCGGATTACCGAGCCCGAAAAACCCGGACCTGGCCTGGGTTCGAACTCTAATTTGAAGCCCACTTGGTGAGGATGCCAATTCTCTAATAACACTCGAAATACGAAACAATTTGGGGTAGGATTTTGTGATTTTTGGCATTTTCCATGTTTGACATTTTGACGGTTTTTAGTGCACGTTTTGGCATTACAATTTGATACCAACTAAATACCCCTCAATTTAAGAGATTATCTATTGAACGGGGAACAAAGGGGGGCTGTCCGCAATATTACGGATTGCGGCTGCGGGGGAAATTTTTTTCATTTGCAACCGACCCTGGTGGGGGAAGTTTTACGATTTTTATTTTCTTAAGGAGGTGTCTTATATTGAGTTCCGACTGTCTTTCATGTTGATAATATTTTGGGGGGAATGTTAAGAATTTAGAAAAAATCCGCAAATTGTGTCCGCAAAATTATAAAATTTTGCGGACAAATAAATATTACATTGTTTTTCTTTCAGTTATCGCCAAGCTCGTTGTGGTTGGATAGAAAAGCAACAAAAATGTTCTTCCAATTCTCATCCTTCCAAGGCCCTTTTTCTCATCATTTATGTTCCACGTAGAGGTTTACTTGAAGTCTGGTCAATGCAAAATGGTCCAAGAATATCTGCTTTTGAAGTGGATGATGGAAGATTAATTTCGATTAATTGTGGAATTTTGTGTGGAAATGATGAAATTTTGGAGGGGAATAAGGCTAATTCTTCAAAGTCATCAAATGTGATTTTTCTTTCTTCGGAAGGTTTATTTTATGTAAGTTTTATTGGTTGAGTTTTTGAAATTTGGGCCAGTGTTCTTTTCATTCTATAGATAGAGTGAAGGGAACATGAGAAAGTTTGTTCTCTTCGCACTACATGTAGAATGAAGGGAACATCAAAGTTAAGTCCATGTTCCCTTCACATTAGATATAGTGTGAAGGGGACCTCAAAGTTAAATCATGTTCCCTTCACACTACATGTAGAGTGAAGGGAACATGGAAGTTAAAGTATGTCCCCTTCACTTTAGTTATAGTGTGAAAGGAACATAAGTCAAATAAAATATTATAGTTATGTTCCCTTTGCACTACTTATAGTATGAAGGGAACATTTCAGATATCTTCACCTTTTTTAAAAAATTTTTTCAAGTCAATTGATGTCCCTTTCAACTCATCAAACAATCCTACAACTATTGACAAATTAAATCTGACCAAACTTGACCAGGGTTTAAATTGATTTTTTTTTGTAAAATTAAAAGCAAACAAAAAACGGCTAATTGTGATATGTAATTTTAAAAATTGAACCCCCAGAAAAAATTATTTTGTATATTAGACACAAAATCCTTTTATTTTTCTCTTTTATTTTTTTTATAAAATGCTAAATATGAAGAGGGAAATAGTTTTTTATGTCCCTAAAAGGTCCGCAAGTTTTCTGTCCACAAGTTAAAATTTTTTTGCAGAAAGGTTCAAAATGGTCAAAAAGCTTATTTTAATTTTTTTCGATGATTTTTATTGAATCAGTGGGTGACATGCTCACAAAATAAGCCTTTTTTGAAAAAAAATTCTTGCGTATTAAAAATTGCGGATAGTTTGGGGGAGTTTTACGGACTTTACTAAAGTGCCTAAACATTTCAATTTTTTTGAAAATTTTAAATAAAAAATTAAAAAATATTTTTTGGCTATATCACACGCTTAATAGCGTTTTTAATTTTTTTAAATTTATTTAGTCCCTTAAAATTTTTATAAAAATTTTTTTTGTACTTATTTAATGCTTCGATTAAATGTTCCGCATTCTTGTAAAAATCATGCTTCTACTTTTTCATTTTGTTTTGGACGAGTGAATTGGAAATGTTTCTATTCTACCCTGTCTCAACAAGCAGAAAAACATTTTTCTCCACAGTTTCAACCGATTATTGGACTTGAGGTTTCTTTTAATTTTATTAATTTTTTGTGGGTTATACGGGTACACCCCCAAGGTACTGCAAGGCCAAGGTACTGCCGAGCTATAACTTTGTTCAAAATTGTCCCTGGTATGTTTCGATGAGCCCCAATGAACTGAATTAGACCATACCAGGGCGTCCCGGATTTGAGAATTTTGAACAAAGTTATAGCTAGGCGGTACCTTGGCCTGCTCCCGAATTATATCAATCCAGTTCTTGCGAATTTATTTAGCAGACAATAATAATGGCCTCAAAATGGTCAAATTTTTTTGGTCTCATAATGGTCAGAGCAGCAGCCATACTTCCCATTTTTCTGTTCATGTCAGTGTATTTGAGGAAGTGGTGTCTGACCCATATGTCTTTTTTGTATTTAACCTTTGTGAGTCCGCATAAAAATGTCCGAAGAACCGGTTTGGGTAACTGAAAAATATGTACTATTTTTTTAGTTGCATGCACAAATCGCTTCAAATACCAAACTTTTTTCTGCGAGTTCGTCGGCACACAACGCCTCTGTGGAGTCTAACTGCCATGTTTCCATTTTTGTAAGGTTTATTTTTTTGAATTTTGGGGGTCCACAAGTGGGTCGGTCGTCAGTTTGGGTGCAAGACTCCCTGAATTGAATAAAAGGCGTATCATTTATTTCGCTCTCTTTTGGACTGAAAAAATGTCTCGAACGTCGGCCCGACTCGAAACCCCCAACCTTACCCCAAATGGTCCATTTGTGGTTGTAGGATATCGGAGCATAATTTAAATTTTTTTGTAGGATTCAGCAATACCTGGCACACTTCCTCGTTTGAACAGTTCTTGTATTCATGTATTTCTTTAACTTTATTGAGTATTTAATTAATTTTTTATTTTTTTAAGAAATCCCTTTTGGCAGCCGTTCTCCTAAATTGTCAGGTTGCCGAGTTTTGCAGGTTTTTTTTAATTTTAAATTTTTGCTGGATTATTCTTTTCCTTTTCAGATTTGACAGAAAACATTACCTCTATCCAGACTTGCCTTTAGGTTTGTTTTAGAAGTTAAAAAACGTCTTTTTCCTTTGATTTGTCCGCAAGTTTCGTCCGCAAATAATTTTAATTTTTTCAATGAGGAATTATATCTAAGGGAAAGAGGAAGAAAAGAATAATGAATTTTATGGGCTCAAAATTAACAATTTTAAAACTTGCGGACAAAATTTGCGGACTTTTTTTTTCTACAAATTTTTTTGCGGACTTTTATTTTGTCCACGAAATTTTTGCGGACTTTTATTTTGTCCGCAAATTTTTCAAAATAATAAAAATTAAGTTTTAAAATTTGCGGACAAAACTTGCGGACTTTTTTTGTCCGCAAATTTTTTTGCGGACTTTTTTTGTCCGCAAATTAAAAAATAATTTTTAAGGCTACCAAATCACTCAAAAAGCTAATCCAATAGCTAAAAATGGTTATTTTAATTTTTATGTAAATTCAACGGATGAAGAAGACGACTCGGTTTACTACCAAAAATCTGTTGGAATAGAACAAATTCAATTAGAAATGGACAGTGGAAAATCTATAAGACATGGAAATTTGGACTTGATAGATTTAAATAGAGCAGGGATTGCTTTAATTGAAATTGTAACAGCTCCAGATTTTTACAATACAAATGAGGTTATTTGCTTTGTTGAACAGCTTAAAATGGCGCTTTCTCATAATGGAATTTGCTTGGGACAATTTCATGGTTTTTTTTATTTTTGAATATTAATTTGTGAAATGAGTTAACGTTGGGTGTGGCCTAGTTGATAGTGTTTTAGTCTTTTGGCTGGGAGTTTTGGGGGTTCGGGTTCTATTTGTGGCAAGGACCTTGGGGTGAGAAATATTTTTCTCTGTCTGTGGGCGCGCCGAAATTTGCGGATTTTAATTTGCGGACCCGAAATTTGCGGACCCGAACTTTGCGGACACGAATTTTGCGGACCCGAACTATGCGGACACGAATTTTGCGGATCTGAGATTTGCGGACCAAAAATTTGCGGACCGACAATAGAGTCTACTGAACCTCGGAAATTTCAAAAATTTTAGCCTGCGGCGTTAATTAGGATGAATTCAGGCATCATGACCTTATGAAATGGACATATAAATGATTTCTTCAAGGAATTTTCACGATTATTTAAATTATGAAATAATTTTAAGATAAAAAACTGATAAAAATGTTGAAAAATCAAGAAAAAATCTTGATCTAGTACGGATCATGGTAAACTCTGCCGGAATCATCGAAGAATAAAATTTTTAATTTTTTCTTTTTACTCAAGTGTCGTTCCTAAAATCTTGGTTCCGCAAAAATCAGGTCCGCAAACTTCGTGTCCGCAACCTTCGGGTCCGCGACTTTCGTTCCGCAAATTTCGGGTCCGCAAAGTTCGGGTCCGCAAAATTCGGGTCCGCAAAGTTCGCGCCACGCTGTCTGTGATCAAAGTGTCTTTCCCTCTAAAAATTTTTTAAATAATTTTTTAGTAGTGTGGTTAAGTTGGTAGGTAGTTTAGATTTTGGGATGGAAGGTAAGGGTTCGATTCCTATTAGTCGACGGGCCTTGAGGAAATATTTAATTTTCATTTTTTTCCTGTTTTTCAAGAGGCCAACCTCCAAAAAAATTAAAAAAAAATTTTTTAGCCCCCTGAATTTTTCCTTGGATTTTTTAAAAATTTTATTAAGCCTCTAAAAAATTTTTTTTCTATATTTAGAAGGCAATTTAAGAGTGGATGCAAATGTTTCAGTTTCCAAAAATGGTGAAAAAGGATCCAAAGTTGAACTAAAAAATTTGAGTGGAATTGGCCATATGTATTCTGCTTTAAATAATGAAATTAAAAGACAACTTGGAATGGTGAAAAATGGAGAATTAATTGAGGAAGAGACTAGGGCTGTTGATGAACAAGGGTTTGATTTTTTGTTGATAAAATTATCAAATAGATAAATTGATAAGATATTTAAAATAGGTGTCTTAGCGAGTGTTTTTCCTCCCCTTTCCATGAATTCCAAATATCTTTTGCCGGTCGGAATAGGGGAAGGCAGCTTTTCTTATGGCCGTTTCAGACTCAGGCCATATTTTGGGCCATAACTTTTTTGATTCTTATCCGATTTAGTTAATTAATATACCAATCGAAAGCTCTGGATACGAGGATTATTTTAACTAACAGGACTGATTTGATCAGATCATTCTACTTAAAGTTAGAGCCGAATAAATATCGAAATTCACGATTTCTCGCACTTATTCGGCTTTAACTTTATGTAGGTCTATCTGATCAAATCAATCCTTTTAGACAAAATAATCTACACATCCAGAGCTTTCGATTGATATAATACTTATTTAAATCGGTTAAGAATCAAAAAGTTATGGCCCAAAATGTGACTAAAACAGTCAACCAATAATCTGGTGTCTGTGGTCAACTGGATAGTGATGGTGACTACACCCCCAATTTATATGAAGGTTCGAGTCCTTTTGAGGGGAAATGATTTTATTTTGGCCTATTTTTAATTTTTTTTAATTTTAAAAATAATTTTTAAATTTTAAAAATAATTTTTTAATATATTTTTCTAGTAAAACTTTTTCTGCTCGTTCAAAAGGCTCAGAATTGGATTATCGTTTCATTCCAGAATCAAACATTCCACCCTTAAAAATTGAACCAAAAATGTTGAAAGAGGCAAAAGACTCAATTTTGTTGGATTTTCCATATTTGGCTTTAATTGAAAAATATAAATTTCCTCCAAATTTTACAATGGAAATTTTGGTTTTTTTAATTAGTTTTGAATTTTAATTAAATTTTAATTTTTAGAATTGCAAAAAATTGGAAAAATTAATTCAAATTTATCTTGACATTGGACCTCCAGTTTGTCTTTTTATTTTTTTCATTATATCTTTAGGTTTTTTTTTATTTTAGGTCCCATTTAAACACTTCAAAAAATGGTTAGACGAATTAAGATATTTATGTGAAAAAATATATATTAATGAAACAAATTATTTTCCTCCAACAAAGTTTGTTTTTCTTTAATTTTTTTAATAAGGGCCCCCCCTTATTAAAAAAATTTACTAGAAATTTCCTAGAAAATTTCTTTAATTTCCTAGAAAATTGAAAAAAATTCCAAAAAAGTCCTAAATTTTGTCCGCAAATTTCGTCCGCAATTATTGTCCGCAAGTATTGTCCGCAATTTATTTCATCAACAATTAAATTGTCAGAAAGGCGCTCGGGATAGACTAGATTCTTCAAAATTCCACTAAAATCCTCTGCTTTGACCTTTTCTGGTAGAACTCCCTTATTTTATGGGCGGACAAAAATTTGCGGATTTCTGAACTTGCGGACTTTTCCCTTGGAAAAATATTCCTCTTTAATCATTCTGTTCTCTTCTGTTTTGGGGAAACTATCATCAATATCCCCCTTACAAACTCAAAAAGAGCAAAATAAAATCAAAAAAATTTGCGGACAAAATTTGCGGATGATTTTGAAATTTGCGGATTTTCTCTTCAAATACCCAAACTTTCAAAAAATTTATCTTTAAAAATTAATTTTCAGTATTAAACTTCTTTATTGTTTTGCTCAAATAGTTCATTTGACTTATACTGGAAAGTTGACTAATTTAATTGCAATTGATTTAATGAGAGAATTTGCAGAGGCTGGAGACGAAGACAGTGATTATAATCAACTTGGAGAGGAAATTAAAGAGGTTTTTTTAATTTTAATATTTTTAGAAAAAAATGTCCAAAAGGGTCATTGGTAGACAAAATATCCATACTGACTAATTCTGTCCAAAAAGTGTCCAAAAGTGTCAGATTTTTAACGTGGGGCTCGAACCTCCGAACTTTTAGAAATAAAAACACCAGATTTTCCCGCTACACCAAAAAATGAATAATTCACAAAAATTAAATATCTTCTATGTAGGGGAGGCCAGTCCAACTGATTAGCACTATAAGAGGGTTTTAAGATTTATTAGGTGAGGTGGTGAAAGTAGCAGCGCTGGGCGGAGCAGTTCAACTGAGTCCGCACGATTGAGACCCCACGATTGAGTCCCCACGATTGAGTCCCGGCACAATTGAGTCCCGGCACAATTGAGTCCCCACGATTGGGGACTCAAGTCCCCACGATCGCTTAAATCTACTGATATCTCTTAATATTCACCGATATCCAACTTGATCCCTCGATGTCACATACAGGTCCCCTTGATGTTCACTTTAATCCCCCCAAATCCCCAGATATCCCTCTTAATCCTTTTTAATATAATTAAATCTACGGGGACTCAATTGAGGTATATACAAGGGGGACTCAATCGTGGGGACTCAATTGTGCCGGGACTCAATCGTGGGGACTCAATCGTGGGGACTCAATCGTGCGGACTCAATTGAGGTGTACCGAGCGCTGGGGTATCTCAGCCAGTCAGTAGGACGGACACCTTTGTGCACGGCAGAGGTCGGTCGAAAATTACGTCGGTGCCGGAAACCGGAACTGTAGGAACTCTGAATTTCATCCGACCTCTGATATGCGAGGAGATAAAGGCACCAAAGAATAACTCCCATTAGGTCACAGGAAACTTTATTTTACCCCACTTTTTTACAATATTTTCGCCAAAATTCACATTTTTTCTAATTTTCCAGCTGATTCAAAATCGCAATCTTTGGCGCATTACAAATTCACAACAAATAGATAAACTAGTTTTGGATGCAGTTTTGGATCATACACCAGATTTTATAGATAATATGATTGCTCAAAAATCAAAACAACGGAGCAAACCCTTTGCAAAATTAAAGAGAGAAATTATTGACAGAAGCAATAAAAGAATTGCTCCAGAAGATGTTGACAACTCTATTTGGAGGGTGGTGGATTTATCAGGTATAGAGAAAGACTTCCCCTCTCTTTTTAAGGATTAAAAATAGCAAATAAAAATTGTTTTTCAAGAGTGGGGTTCGAACCTTGGACCTATTTACACTAAAAATCTGTCTATTTTCCCACTACACCAAAATTACCTTGGGGGAAGGAAGTTAAATTCAGGGAAATATAAGCAAAGATTGTTTTCCCTTTGTTGGGTTTGAACCTCCGCCCAATGAACACTCTAAAAACAAACGCCTCTCCCACTACACCAAGGAGGCTGTATAAAAGACTAGTAAATTCTGCTATGTATTTATTAACGAAGAAATTGTTTTTATTTTCTTTAAAGGGTTTAATTTAGTTTTAATACGCAAACGATATGTTGTTGTGGTGTAGTGGGAAAAGTTGGGATTTTTAATAATAAAGGGGTCCAGAGTTCGAATCCCACTAGTGGTAAATTATTTTATTTTTCATTTTAAAATGTTTTTATGGATTTTGGACGAATATAAAAACGAAATTTTATTTTTTTTAATTTTATTAAGAGTATCACAATGGCAGTTTAGTGATATATAAGTATTTATATAAAAAATTAAGAGAATTAATTAAATTTTAAATTAATTTTGAGTGGCCATAAAAGTTATTAAGTGAGGAAAATAAAAAATAAAATTAAGAGTATGAAAGACACAAACTTTTTTGTTTTAAAATAGGGAAAGGCACGAATAAAAAAGTGAATTTTAGAAAATTCCTTCAAAGAAGGCACTTTTAAAGGCACCCAGAAGGCACCTTTAAGATCAACTCCCTATTGATAAAATGACTCAATGTCAAATGCTCATCCAGAAGGTCAAATTTTCCTGGAATACGTTGACCTGCAGAATTTCACGAGAAAATTCTGTCTTATGTCCCTTAAGCCATAAAACCTAGGGGAATTTGACCTTATGGGAGTTGACCTTTAGGATCCTTTGATCAATAAGGAGTGACCCCTAGGAATTGACCCCCTTTAAAGTGGCTGCAAAACAACTTTTTGCACGTCAGAATACGAGGGTGGAACCAACAAATTTTCTGCTGTTTGGTCTCCAATTTGTTGTGAATTTTGTTGATGTTGTTGCTGGGGAACAGCTACAACTCTCATTTGATCAGAACCGTTGGACATCTAAAAATATTAAAAAAAAATTTTTGACACTCCTTGGCTTTTCCCTCACCGTTATAGTCGCATCCTCGGGCGAATAACACTCGTATTTTGGACATATAAATTTTGTTGGGTACTGGTTCACGTACTGAGGGACCTGAAATGATTATAAGAATTTTTTGGGATAACTTTGTTATAAATGTCAAAACTACAAAATGGTCAGAACCAAAAATCGTCAATGTTCAAAATGGTAAAACCAAAAATGTTCAAGTCCAAAAATTAACATTTCGGGTCTGACCATTTTGAAATTTTGACATTTTTAGTTCTGACCGATTTGAATTTTCACCATTTTACGACTTTGACATTTTGAAATTTAAAAATTTACCTGCTGTTGAGGGAAACCAGCAGCTACAGCAGCAAGTGATATTTGGTCGAAATGGTGGTAATGATTTGGGGGTAGTACACCCAACATTTGTTGTGGATTTGAGGGCCAGAAAGAACGCTGCTGTTGTTGTTGTTGAGACATTAATGAAGGTGGGGTTGTTGTTAGATGGATTGTGGCATTATTACTGTTGCTACTGTTGTCGCTCAAAGGTGAATTGGTGTTTGAACTGTTAGGAATGAATTTTCTGGATTTACCGTAATGAGTTTTTACATTATGACATTTTTAAGCTTTTTTACCATTTTGAGTTTTGAACATTTCGAACTTGGACATTTTACAGTGGGCATTTTTTAATCTGACCATTTTACAACTTTTCATATTTTAAACATTGCGAATGTCAAAATGGTAAAATGTCAAAATGGTAAAACACAAAATACCAATTAAAAATCACTAAACTTACGTATTATTCCCTCCCGAATTCCTCTCGTAGGTGGTCGTTCCACAATTATTATGTTTTTGACTTTGTTGTTGTTGTTCACCCGCAGCACTCAATATTCGTGCTATATTCGAATTTACTTGATTATGGGCTCCATTAGAATTGTTGTTTCCTGGGGGTAGCAGAACTTGACGTTTTGCCTGTTGGTGGGAAGTAAAGTTGCCGTTGTTGGAGCCATCAGAAGAGCGTTTTAAGGACTGAAATTTCAAAATAGTAAAATTAAAGGCGCTCCTACACGGGCACAGTGATCCATTTGCACAGTAAGACAATTGCACATTGGGCATTTGCACAGTGGACAATTGCACAGTAATTTGTGGTTAAGTGCATTTGTGTTAGACTTTCTGATAAGTTTTTAATAATAAATGGTTTTTCTTAAACAAAAACAATTTTCCCTGTTCTATAAGCAATTTTTCCCGTTGTTGAAAAAGTTGTTCGCGGGAGACGAAAACTCGCAGAGATATAGGCTCCGGAAAATCGAAAAACAATAGAGTAAACTAAGCGTTTTTTTGGGGTAAAAAATTCGAAGATGCAAATTATAGCTCATTCGAAAGAGCTTTTTGAGTTGAGTCGGCTGACACCAAAATCATCTTGATTGGATGATTCTGAACGAAGTTATGACCTATAGGTGAATGAGCCTTGCGTTTATTTGGAGTGTTTCGCGACTAAATAGGCGTTTTGCGAATAAATGGGTAGGTCGTTTTGCGAATGAACATGACTTTACTGTGCAATTGTCCACTGTGTAATTGTCCTCTGTGCAAAAGTCTTACTGTGCAAATGGATCACTGTGCCCAAGTCGTGTCACCAAATTAAAATGTTAGGGTATCAAAATGATAAATGTAAAAATGGTCAATCTCAAAAGGGTAAATCTCTGGAAAGACTCCAAAACGGTAAATTACAAAATGGGAACTTTAAAGATAGTCCATTTCAAAACGGTCAATGCCAAAATGGTAACATCCAAATTGGACATCTCAAAAGGGCCAATTTTAAAAAATTGTAAACTGATAACCCCAAACGGTAAAACTCTCACAGTTCTTTGTTGATGCTCAATAGAAATAGGCAATTCCAGGGCAGTGGCATTATTACATCTCTTCTTCGCGCATAGAGCCCCAGCCATATATTTTGAATTAAAAAAGCGTCTATCCAAGCAAACAAGGCATATTCTACAATCGGGGCCTCGACAATCTTCACAAGCATTACAGCCAATTCTTGCTTTGAAGGTTGGGGCGTCTCTCTAAAAATTTTGTGACAAAATGAGAAAAATTCCACTATTGGGCATTTTGTAATTTAGAGATTTTGACGTTTTTCTGAAGAGATTTTTCAAAATATCTATTATTTAATCGATTAATCTTCCCATTTTTCGTTCCTAATTTTAAATAGTTTTAGCCTATTTTATGAGGGCTGGTCAATTAGTTTGCTCCCTGTTCCCTTTATTTTGATTACTCCACTTTGTGACATTGGGTGGCTGGCACTTACTGATACGTAGATGTAAGAAAATTTTTAAGAGAAGGAACGGATAAGAATTAGACTGATAGCAAATTGAGTAAGAGAAAAGGGGAGACTTCATTATGAGGACCCTTTATTTAAGAAACACTCGTTATAAGGGACCCTTCTATTTAAGAAACACTCGTTATAAGGCCCCTTTTCAGCCCGCCCCAAGAGGCATCTCATAATGAGGGCTGCCTATAACTTTCAATAATCTTTCTTGTTCACCTGTAGTCTATTCTCCAACACACGCAAACACCTTCTTTCAACACACGATTGTTTCTTTACTCCAGGGCCACCAAATTGAGGGCTATCCTGACAATAAGTACATTGCCCACAAGGTTTGCACTGACATCCTCTACAAACACCACAACGTTGAGAACGATTAATTGAAGAAGTGGAAGTAATGGAAGATGAAGGGCCTGATGGGTGTGAAGAGGAAGATGAGGATGCCAAATGACTTGAATATCCGTTCTGAAAAAATGGGAGATATTAGAGTCTGGGGTAAGAGTAGAGTAACTCGAGGTTGAGGTCTTGAGGCCATATTTTAGGCCATAACTTTTTTCATACTTAACCGATTTAGATGATTATTGTTTCAATTGAAAGCTCTGGATTTGAGGATTATTTCATCAAGCAGGATTGATTTTATCAGATCAACCTACAAAAAGTTACATTTGGATAAGTGCGCGCAATCGTGATTTTTGATCTTTATTCAGCTGTAACTTTTTGTAAGTAGACCAGATCAAATCAATCCTGTTAGGTAAAATAATCCTCACTACAATAGCTATCGATTGATATAATATCCATCGAAATCGGTTGAGAATCAAAAAAGTTATGGCCAAAAATATGGCCTCGAGTCTGAACCGACATTTGAGCACTATAGAACTAACTCTGTGTGTTGAACTGCCATTTTGTTGTTGAGGTTGGGGATGCAGTATATGACCACCACCCATTAAACGTTGTCCATATCCTGCAGCTATAGAGGCTGCCAAATGTGGGGGCATAGAACCGGTGGGGGCTGAAGGCATCGATGTAAATTGTTGCTGAGCATTAGGGTGACAAAAAAGGCCTGAAAGTGAGGGGAAAATTGATTTGAGGAAGGTGAAAAAAGGCTCAAAAATTTTTTAAAAATGATTTAGAGATAGTAGAAGTTTATTTTCAATCAAAAAATTGAAAAAGAAAAATATCAGGCAACGAGCGGATTCGAACCTTCGACCAAATTTTATGCTATTCCTATGTAGCCTAGAACACTACCCACTGCTCCATAAACCTTGTTTTACCTTGTTTTTAATCAAAAAACGTAAAAATAAAAACACCCGGCTTCAGGCGTCTTTGAACCCACCCCTAATAGATCACTCACCTGCAGCTTAGAACACTACCCACTTGGCCACAATGCAACCTAACCACTTTTAATTAATTCAATTAAAAGTCACCCAGCTTAAAAAAATATTTTTCCAAGTCATTACTTAATTGGTGAAACAAAACAAAAAAATAAAAATGACGTCTCTCATCCATTTTACAGTAATCCCCCCTATTTTTCTCTTAATTTCCACTAATTTTCTCCCAAATTTTCATTCTTGTCTCTCTCATTTTTACACACTATTTTCTAAATCTCTACCAAGATTAGCAAACGCCTGCATTGTTTCTGCTTGTTGTTGTTGAGGTTGTTGAACTACAAACCCTCCCCCATTAGACTGAAAAAATGCTTGTTGTTGTTGTGAATATGTTGGTGATGAAGTATTCGAAGTCTGTTTTTGTCTACCTTCCATTAAAGAAGGCTGCTGATTTTCGTTCTCAACAATTTCTTTTTTAATAATTTTTTGGTGGTGGTGTTGCTGACTTTCCATCCGCGCGGAAAGCGTGCGGAAAAAGTTGAAAAATTTTCTAAAAAATTTTTAGGATGAAAAACATGTGAAAGTCGATTTTCAATCAGAAAATTTAAAAAGAAAAATATCGGGCACCGAGCGGATTCGAACCTTCAACCTATCTTTAAAGCTTCCTGTAAAGCCTGGAATACAACCACTGCTACACAAAACTCTAGTAAATCACACAGAACATGTAAAAGTCAGGTTTTTAATCAAAAAAGTTGAAAAATAAAAATAATGGGTATCGAACGAATTCGAACTTTCGACCCTAATTTCCAGCCTTACTATAAAGCCTAGAACACTATCCAATGGGACACAAGTGAGGTTGACTGTATTTTATTAAAACAATTATTAACTCCTTTAGGGGAATATCGAGAAATTTGGAAGGACTAAGGAGATTCCATAGAGCTGTGGGTATTGCCCCCATACTCCCTCTAAATCCCTCGATATTCCTATCAAAGGTTACAAGCTTTCATGGTCAACTTTTTTTTTCAAAAAATTTTTTAAAAAGTTGTGTGTCGTCTTTATTCGCAAAAATTTTAAAAAAAAAGGAAGAACCAAAAAGAGCGATCGATGCAAAAATGTGAAAAAAATAAAGGGGAATTGTGTTGTGTTTTTAGTTTATTTTTGAGAGAGAGAGAGGCTGGAAAGGAAAGATCGTGTCGTAAACGAAAAGAGGTATATTTTGAAAATAAAAATGGAAAAAAAGATGGAAGGAGATGGAGAGAGGCGCGGGATCAGGTCAAGGCCATCTGATTTTGAAAAAAAAATTTTAAAATCTAAAATGTCAACAAAGAAATGAGGTGGACATTTTGAAAAATGGACGTTTCAAGTTGGACATTTCAAAAATAGACATTTCGACATTGGACATTGAGAGACATTGGGCATTTCGAAATTAGGCATTTTGCCACTGGAGATTTCGTTGATGGGCATTTCGACTTTTTGAAATGGACGTTTTGAAAATAGGACATTTTAACGTTGAACATTTCGAAAGGTAAGTAATTGATAACATAGAGGCCCTAATCTTGATGATATTCCTTAGTGCTCTCTAAAAATACTTATAGAGCATAGGGAACATGTTCCCTTCACACTACCCATAGTGCATAAGGAACATGCCTCTAGTCCCAATTTATTGTACGAGTTTACTTTAAGAATCTGAAGCTTTTTACCAATAAATGACCACTTTGTGGTGATCTTTTGGGTTATTAAGGTCGATCTTCTGGGCCTTACCCATCTAAAAATAAATTTTTAAAAAATAAAAAGGAATGGACAATCGTGTGTGTAAAGGAATTGAAGGGGGAAGACAGTTCGAGAGCGCGGAAAAAAGAAAGAAAAAGAGTTAATCCTTTCTTAAGAAAGGCTGGTTGTTGTGGACAGTCATGTTTGTGTGTTGACCCAAACAAAAATTGGCCCAACAAACAATTCAAGTGGTGGGGGAAAGTGATTGAAAAGAAAAAATTTTTGTAGTTATAAGAATGTTTGTATAAAGAATTTGAGGGCTTTTTAGACTAAAAATAAAAATATTAAAAAAGGTAAAATAGAAGGAAAGGTAGGGGAGGAGGGAGGGGGAGAAGGGGGACTTTTAATACAAGATTAAACATAAATGAATTTTTTGAAAGATTCAAAATGTCAAAAGGAAAGATGGTCAGAAATTTCATAATGTCATGGAGTAAGTAGGACATACTCACTGAGTGTAGGGAACACGTTCCCTTCGCACTACCCATGGAGTATATCGAACATGTTCCTTACAGACTACCTAGAAGCATGAGGAACCTTTCACAACACCTATGAAACGTAAGGACCTTTACTCTAACCATGGAGCGTAAGTCCCTACAGACTATTTATGGAGCGTAAGGAACAATAACCGTGGAGCGTAAAGAACATGTTCCCTTCACACTACTCGTGGAACATGTGAAACATGTCCCCTACAGACTATTCTTGGGGCTTAAGGAATATGTTTCCTGCCATGTCTGGTGAAAACGGCAGTGGTGAATTGGGCAGTGAGTGATATGGGCATTGAGTGATTTGGGCAGTAAACGTTTTTTAAAAAATAATTTTACACGCAAAAACAATTTGAGTAACGTTAGAAGAATAATTTTGAGTGATTTGGGCAGTAACTTAGAATTTTTAAATTATTTACACAAAAATTCAAAGAACCGCACCCCTTACCTTTGTTGAAATCATTACCCTTTGTTGAAATCGTCTTGGTCTCAATTTTGACGTTTCCCTAAGTGATAAGTAGATTTAAGGTACGAGAAATAATTCCTATTTTAAGTTTTTAGGTCTCAAGATAGGTCCAAAATATCTGAAAAAGGTCAAAATAGTTTTGGAAAAATATGTTCAAATTTTGGATTTACTTTAAGTTAAATAAAAATTCCCGGAATTTTCGTTATCAATTTTAAAAAATTCTAAGTTACTGCCCAAATCACTCAAAATTATTTTCCTAACGTTACTCAAATTGTTTTTGCGTGTAAAATTATTTTTTAAAAAACGTTTACTGCCCATATCACTCACTGCCCATTTCACCACTGCCCAAATCACACGGCACCGTTTCCTGCTACACTATTGAAGCTTTAGGAATGTTCCCTTCGCACTACCCATGGAGCATAAGGAGCACGATTTTAGACTATAAATGAGAAATTTAATAAAACAAAATAGTCAAATAATTTCTAAAATATTTCATTGAATAACTCTCTCAATATTCTCCTCTAATGGAATTTAGGTCAAAACATCAAGAAACATACCGAAAAATAAAAATATTTAAAGATTTATTAAGAAAAAAGATAAGAAAAAAGATTATAGCTTTTTTGAAGAAAACCGAAAAAGGAAGGGTAAATAAAGAAAATTTATATAAATCGGCATATCTTTTCAACAAAACAATACAAAAATTTCCTTATTTTTCAGTTTAATAGGAATATATGTTCCCTTCACACTACTCATAGTGCGTAAGGAACCTGAATTTTTCGAAAAACTTATTTCTCGGTGTTCTCGTCATCCTACCCATTTAGCGCATAAAGAACATAAGATTTTCTGATGTTCCTTTCACACTACTCATAGAGCGTAAGGAACATAAATTTCTCGAAAATATTATTTTTTCAGATGTTCCCTTCACACTACCCATAGAGCGTAAGGAACATGGATATTTTCCGAAAAACAAATTTTCGGGTGTTCTCTTCCAATTACTCATAGAGCGAAAGGAACATGAATGATTTTTCCGAAGCTTTTAATTTTCGGATGTTCCCTTCCCACCACCCAGCGTCCGTAAGGAGCATGAAAGGATTTTTCCAAAAAACTTGCATTTTTTGGATGTTCCCTTCGCACTACCCATAGTGCGTAAGGAACACAAAAAGGTCGAGAAATGGAAATTTTTCGAAAAAAAACTTTTTCAGGTCCTTGTGCTTGTACCCCTCTTCGCGCAAGTGTGGTAGAAAGAATAGTATCATTGACGAAAATCATTCTCATTCAAAAAAATTTTTTTAAGAATAAAAATGCTTTTCTCTCTGGAACCGGTTACCCCTCTCCTTCTATTTTTACCTTTCTTCTTTTTATTTTCTTTGTACTCCCCCCTCCTACCCCCCCCCCTCCTATTCTCTTTCCCCTACCCCTTTCTTCCCCACAAATAGCCAATTAAAAAAAAATTTTTTTCCTTCTAAAACAGTATATAGCTCCCCCTTTGAAT